GTTCCCGCTCTTTTTGACATCTGTTAGCTGTTTTATCCAAAATTCGTTCCAATTGATTTCTTTCTTTAACTTTTCCCATCTTAACCTTGCTTCATTTTGTTCATGTTCGTCTTCAATTTGCGTTGAAATGTAAGGTACTATATCCTCAGTCCTTTTGTTCTGAATTTCTTCGAAATATCCCTGCAGCACAATCTTCAAGAGATTTTGCTGAACGCTTGAACAGAGTTGCCGAATAACCAACTCATCTTCAGATAGCTCAAACTTCTTTAATTTTTCATTTAAGTTTCCTAACTTTGTGTTTAACTCTCCGATTTCCTTTTTGGCTTTTTTGGCTTTTCTTTTGGCATTTTCTTCAATTTTTTTCATTTGTTCTTCAAGGAATGTGTTACTCTCTTCTAAGTGTCCCATTTTTATCTTCATCTGTTTTATTTCTTCTTTAAGTGTTTGTATTTCTTCTTTAAGTGTTTGTATTTCTTCTTTAAGTGTTTGTATTTCTTCTTCCAGATCATGGATTTTCGTTTGACAATTCTCATCATGGTCTTTCAGTTTCTCTTCTAATTTTCTTACTTTTTCTTCCAATTCAATTTTTATTTTATCCTTTCTCTTGATATCGTCTTTCAGCCTTCCTACGTAACTAGTCTTCCCTTTCTCGGCCATGACTAAAGCTGCCCTAAAGATAAATGTACGTAAGCAATAATGGTGGTAGAATGAAAAATAGCATTCATCGTGGCGTTGTCATAATTGATACATATTCGTTTGTCTGAAGCGAGGGTCACTTGTAGAAGTGGATCGCGTTCCTTCTATGAATGACGTTCAATCGTGAGACAAATGGATAAGTATCATTTATTAATAAAGTGGTGTTAGCTGGAATAAGTGAGGTGAAAGTTTTCATTAAGTGAGGTGAAACTTTAAGTGCGTCGCAAGTCTTATTCAGTTTACATAAATGGTATACTAGTTTAACAATATGTTCCTCCGAGTAGTTTTATAAATTGGTGTTTTTGGGCTTTATATGTTTATATCTATA